CTTGCATACCAACAACAGAGTTCAATACCAACTTAATTTTAACCTTTTTGTTGTAAAATTGTCGAGCTTTTCCACCGATTCGTGTATTAATGCAAATCTAGCCACACCAATAAGGAATATATTATGTCGATTTTTTTTTTTTTTTCAATTCGACATTTTTTCAATTTACATTGAATTCTCTATAAAGCTCCATACAAAGTCTAATATATATCAGATTTACAAATATCAGAATATAATAGATTTCAGATTTAAATCTTTGCCCAGATTGCCCTACGGGAAATATATATAAAATATATACTATTTCATCGGAGCTTGTCTTTAAAATTATAATAAATTTTAAAGTCAACAGTTCAAGTCTCTAGCTGCAACAATTACATATTATACAGAACTAATATACTCATAGACACACCAAAGTATATAGCACTCTAAAAATTTATAGTAATATTAAAAAAGCATTAAAAAATTATTAGATATTTTTATTATTTTTTTTTCTGCTTTATCTATTGCAATTAATTTGAAAGACTGCGACAATAGCACAATAAACCCATAAGATATTACAAAACCCAATAACCTCGCTGCTATTGCCAAGAGAAGACTCAACTAAAGAGCAACGGCGGGTAAGAGAGCACGAGTGCGGGAGAGCCAGTTGCAGAGAGCGGGAGAGCGACTTGCAGAGAGTAGGACAGGGAGACAGCATGTGAATCAATTTGATGAGAAGCTCAGCTCAACGCAGTTGCATTTTTTCATTTACTCATATTTTGTTTATGTTTAAGTTACAGCAATTAGGCATGCATGCAGAGAAGACAAGGGCTCGAGCTAGTGGATACTCTATACAAAATCAGAGTAGTTTGCGAGAAACCGAATTAATTTAGCATATTAAATAAACCATTTATGTGAAGTACATAATTACTTCAGGTAAGCTCCTTTAAAAAAAAATACAATTTAAAACATTTTCAATATGAGTTCCAGAAGTGTTATTGTATATTAAGAGGAATTTGATTTATGTATTTATTTTTATAATTTTTTTATATATTTTTTTTTTTATATTATATTTAAGCTAACCGAATATTTTCGTTTAGGTGCCCAGCATGAAAACTAGTCTAAGTATATATAAATAATACTTGTAATACGAATTTTATTTAGTATCAAAGCTAACTTTATGATTTTCAGTTAAATACTAATTTATTAAAATTAATAAATGCCTAAAAAGGATTCTTGACAATACTCTAAATTATTACCACTGGCAAACAGATCGTTATAGTCAATGTATCTATTTTCAATTGAGGGCAACTGACCCTAAAGAGTGCGTCAGTTGTGCAGAGGCGGGCTAGTTAACCAATTGCACAACCAGCAACAGCAACAACAACTACGACAGCAAAAATAATATTAAAAAAAAAAATAATACTTTGCGACATTTCAGTGTTCGGCTAAGCCAAAATTAAAAATTTTTCTGCTTAAACTCGGCTATTTGTTTGCTCGGACCGCAGACTGATCAATAAAGCCAGTCGGACGGACAACGAGCAGGTGAGCAGGTGAGCAAGTGAGCGCTGGGCCAACAGACTCTAAGTGGGTTAGTTCATTGTTGTTGGCTCTTTGATAAGAGCCAAGTCTGAACGGTAGAGTGAGACGGAAAGTGAGCGAGCGAGAGAGAGGCCGAGCAAGAGGGAGTGCTCGAATCGCTGACGCTTGCTCAAGTCGCTGCTGCGTCAAGGTCGGCTATTGTAAAAGAAAGCGCCAGCGCTTGGCCTTGAACACGAAAATATATATGTTAAAGCGAATGACGTTGAAGCCGAGGAGGGCAACAGCTGAAGACCAATGAAGAAGTGCCAGTTCACAAAATTGTAGCTACATTTGATGCTGACCGACCGAGAGATGGCGAGAGGGAGTGAAAGAGAGAGAGAGGGTGCGTGAGGGAGAGGCAGATGTATGCAGAAATCGTGCGACTCGCGAGTTTTGAGTGTTTGCAGCGCTCCTCTTATGCCACGATGACATTTCAAGTGGTTTAAAAAGGGTATACTAGTTATGATTTACGAATGATAAGGGCCAAAAATACCTAACTAAAATTTAGATTTGGATATCAAGAGATTATCGTTAACTGTAAATAAATGAATAGGCTTTTATAAAAAATTTTATATAATTTATATTAATTTTTTATACAAAAAATATTTTTTTTAAATTTAATTAAATCTGGCAGATGCAGCACTTCAGGCCAATTCCAAAATTTGTCAAAACTATAATCGATATATATATCGAACTTTAAGAAATGATATATATATATATCTATGTAAATCCATAAATATCCTTAAGATCAAAATAACATGGGACCTAAAATATTTTTTCTATCGATAATTATATAAAGCTTTTATTTAGAGTATTCACATTATATACTACATACATCTATATAGTGAGATCACCTTGAGAATCTCAAATACAATACCGCTTTCAACTCAGGGTATCTCGCAGCCGCGCATTCTCCTCATTAGAGCACTCTCACTGTTGCAAGGTGAGTGTTATTTTGGCTTGTTTTGCATAGAAATTAATGCTTAAACTACTCGTATCGCAACATTCGAGTGTCGCGCCATAAACTTTATGCTTGAGTAAGACAATGGCCCAGCCAGCGAAATATGTTTCGAACCGATTCATTTTGCAAAACTTGAGCAACAACAAAGAAAAAAAAAAAGAAAATAAAAGATAATAAAAGCCAAAAAATAACAAGATATAAACAAAACGGCCCCAAGCATCTCGAAATGTTTTGCAAAAAAACCGGGGGAGGGGGAAATATAAAGATATGAAACCAAAAGCCGACTTGTCGAACGTTGTGAAAAATTGGGGTTAAATGGGAAACCAATGGGGTTAATTTGCATGCTCATCCGCAAATTGGGGCAAAGTGCAACAGAGAAACTGGAAAAGAAAACGTTGCAAGACACCTAAATTGAGTCACATATTGGCAAGATCGAGGCAACTGGAAGATTGAGGAACTGTTTATGACTGTGTCAGCCCGAGAGCATGAAAAATTGTTTAAGGCAAGCGCAGATCAAATAGCGGGTTTTATGTCTAAGTCATGTTGAGAATTTGAAGTTCCTGTTGGAAAGCTTGACAGACCCTGTAATAAAGTCAGTTAGGAGTTGAAAGTAGATGAAAACATATTAGCATAAAATATTAACAAATGCATTTTATAGTTTACAGAACTTAAATTGTGTCAGGTTAATATTTTAATAAAAAATAAAAAATTGGAAATTGGAAATACATAAATTGGTGGAAGAGCAGAAAGAATCGAAATAGCTTGAGGATTATAAATATGCATTGGTCGTTGGTTAAGAATATCAATAAGAGAAACAACTAACTAATTGCTCAAGACAGATTGAAAACAAGCTAAATTAATTTCATTTAAATTGTAATAATTTAAAACAATAAGTAATTCTGGGAATAAGACATAAAGTAAAGATTCAAGACTCTATTAAATCCAGTAGCAGACTGGACTGAAAAGCTTTTTCTTTGGACTTGTACGTATTGAGAATCATTAATATTCATACGACTTTGCTGATCAAACAGCTGTATATCTATATTCAGACAAGCAAAGTGTTACCAGATCGAACAGCTGTTGTTCTATGCCTAAGCAGTGATATAATTATAAATTCTAACAGACACCTGAACGCCTCGGTTAAGGCAAGTGTCAAAGCTGATCAATGCCTCAACAGATTGTCAAATATACATATGTAAGCATTCCAAAGCGGATGTAGAAATAGCAAAACAAACATACTGTCTATACCATTCAATTTCGAATTTAATTTAATTTTATATTCATTCAATTATGATAAGTAATTTGATATACTAAAGTCATTCTATTTTTAATTAACCATTGATGCTGGAATAATATTAGACTGCATTAGAGATTGGCTATTAGCTTAAAGTCTATAAATAACTATTTTTGCACATTATAAGAAATCCCAACGGACCCAAGTTCTAGTTGAACTAACTAACCAAATAATAACAAACCCGAGTTCAACTATTCAGAGGCTAAAGAACGAATGACAAATTGTTTTTGGCTTCCTCATAGACTTGGCTTTTGCTCCTCCCAAATAGATTTAAACTAAGCACACGCCATGCCAATTTGAACGTGGAGTCGCCCAGTCTGGGAAAAGATCAACAGCAACTAAACCTAAATGATGTCGTTAAATAGATTTAATTAGAATAATCTTTTTGAGCTCCATGTTTTGCATGTCAATAATAATTCTAGATGGATGGAAGAAGAAGCAGGCAAGCACTGAAATAATCATATGAAACAAACGTCATATGAAACGAAATTTGTAAAGCATACAATTCTAATTTGAACAATTCAGCATTAAAAAGAATCTAAACTTGTCTGAAAAACAATTTTGGAGGGTCTCCAGTTCAGTTAGGGTCTGTTAGGCTAGCAATGAGACCTTATATAAATTATTAAATGCGCACTTAAGACGACAATCAAAGAGGCACTCACCATTGAATAATAATTACTATCAACTATTTGCATACCTGTAAAGAAATAGTTTGAAATCATGTTAAATACGTTCAATATGTGCATAAGCTTAAGAACTAAGATTTAGCTACGTTTACCTAAGACTTCTTATAATATAATATCAATTCTGAAATTTTTATATTCAATAAATATTTCAAAAATGTCTGGGTATAGAATTTTAATTACTTTGAAATTCTTAGCAACCTGAACAAGTTCTTTTAGATATGCATAAAAAATAAAAAAGTAAAAAAAACTTGCGCTGGGCATTTTTTAATATATATTATATAGAAACTATTTTTTTCTTTAATTTTTTTTCTATTTCAAATGTCAATTGAAAAAAACATTTTTTTTCGTTTTTTTTTTTTTTTTTTTTTTTTTTTTTTTTTTTTTTAGTTTCTTTAGCCGCTTGAAAAGCGTCGACAAAGCGCCGCAAAAGCTGCGTAGCTCAACTTTTGTGGGCGAACTGAGCCGTCGAGCTTGCGAGCGAGTTGCTGTTTGCTTTCTGCGCTCAGTCGATAAACGAAGCTTGGCCGCGATACTTGGCTCAAGCGCATGCCAGCACGTTAACGTAGACAGAAAGCAAAGAAGAAAAAGAAAAAGAAAAAAACGTTACGCGCTGCGGCCAAACTTGGTAGTCGGTTGGCAAAAAACAAAAACAACAAAAAAGCTAAAAAAAAAAAAAAAACACAGGCGAGCAAGAAACACAGCTGAACAAAATTGCAACAGAGGCGCGTGCTCAAGGAGAAGTTGGTTAGAAGAGCGCTGCATGGTAGGAAAGCGTTTACAAAATAAAATTTAAAATACTTCAAAGATAATTTAAGGCAGTTAAATATTTATAAAACTAAAAAACCAAGTGAACAAAAACAAAAAGTTGAAATAACTAAACTTAAAATAAAATATACACATATGTTAAACTCAAGTTTTTTTGGGCTAAAACAAAATTTCCGCATTTTAAATTAGTCAGCTGTTATTTTTCTTTAATTTCTTATGCAAAAACAACCGAAAAACAGCGAAAAACAAAAATTAAAATGTAAAACGAAAGACTTAAGACACAAACTTACGCGGGATGGCGCGTGTGCAAATGCATGAAACAGCAACAAGTGATATATGTGTGTGTGCGTGCACCCGTGTGTGCATGTGTATGTATGTCTTATTGGCCAAGCATATAAAAAAAAAAAAAATAAAATAAAATAAAATAAAACGAGCTAAGCCAACGCAAAAGAAAGAAGCCAGCGCAAAGAAGTTATTTGAAACTGTTTCATTTGACTTTGTTTTACAGTTGTTTACACACTCGAAAAGTGCAATAAAAAAGATAATAAAAGAAATATAATATATATATACATGTATGTATATATGTGAAGACAAGACACAGCCACAAAATGAGTGAACTTCACAACAACAGCAACAGCTCAATGTTGATTGCCCCTGCTACTGTTAACTGCCTTTCTGTTTGTTTTTCCACAACACCAAAAAATTATATATATGTATATATATACATATATTTCGAAAATGAGCGTACAGTAGTACCTGAGTATATGGGAAATGTACGCTGAACGCTGAACGAGATTGAGCAATGCAAAATATTGCAACAGACAATGACTGACCATATATACACCCATATACACAAATATATATACCATTTTTGTATTTTTTAGCTTCAGTTAGAGTCGTTGATAAAGCTCAGGTTAAGATCACTTCGAGAGATGTTTTAGCTATCAAGCGGCTAGTTGCTGGGGAAAAGCGCTCAGCGGTTTTCCTTGGTTATTCCGATTGGCAAACAATTTGCTTCTTCATGCGCCAGCCTAACCCACATTTCTCGTAAGATGATCGTCTAGCCACACACTTACACACATTGCAGATAGTCTTTTGCTTTATCATGCCTTTCTACTCGAGCTGTGTCGCCAAGTGAACAAAATTGTTACATGTCCATAATGCACTGATGCGAAATGACACAGAAAAAACAAAACGGCAAAACTAACACAGAGAATAATCACATAAAGGAAATGAAACAAAATTCAAATGGAAGAAGAAATAACAAAACGTTAAAGAAAATGCAAAACGAATAGCACAAATTATAATCAAAGAAAAAAAAAAAAAAAAAAAAAAAAAAATGGAAGAAGAAATAACAAAACGTTAAAGAAAATGCAAAACGAATAGCACAAATTATAATCA